ACTGTATCATGCAAAACACCTTATAAGTGAGAGTCAAAGTCTTAGAAAATGTTAAGTGTTCACTAGAGCATATTTTAAGAATTGGTGCTAGGGCCCATTGCTTCAATGGTTCTGGTGAGCTGAATAGGCTTTTCTTTTTGCCTAGAAAAACACAATGCATCAGAATGCTCCCTGTCCCACAAAAAAAGAATAACCATACTGCATTAGCAATTTAGGCATTCTATCCTCCCTGCTGGGAACAATGACAAATCATGGACACCTTTGACTGCCAGGGCTCACTCGAGCCTCACACTCTGAGATTCAAAATCTTTTGGCTCTAAAGACATAGAGAAAACTCATTTAACCAATTGATTTCATTCAGGGTTGACTCAGAGTGAAGAATGCTGGAGTGGCATAATATGGTACCATTTAAAAGTTAGGCAACCGAAGGTTAATTTCCTCCCAGTGTAAACTGCAAAGCATGGAAACTAGATATATTTAATGTACTTTAAAACTTTGCTCATGCCTCTAATCCTAGCACTGTGGGAGGCTGAGGTGGGAGGATTGCTTGAGCTCAGGAGTTTGAGGTTGCGGTGAGCTATGAGAGTGGCCTCAGCAAGAGTGAGACTGTCTTTACTAAAAATAGAAAAAATTAGTATGGCGTGGTAGCACACGCCTCTAGTCCCAGCTACTCAGGAGACTGAGGTAGGGGGATCACTTGAGCCTAGGAGTTTGTGGTTGAAGTGAGCTATGATGTCACCACTGCCCTCTACCCAGGGTGACAGAGCGAGATTCTCTCTCTCTCAAAACAAACAAACAAAAACTCTGAAGTATCACACCGCTGTTAAATTACTGGGTATGCCTTTATGCACTTATACAATGTTTGAGAAGTGCTACATATCACTACTATTGTGAGTATATAATTCTGTGGTGGTTATAAATTGACAAAAGGTTTTTCAGGAGAAACAGGGACCTGATTCCCTTCAATATCATTGAAAGGTCAACTTTGTTTCTGTTTGACAGGTCAACATGGTGATTGGCATTTTGGTATTTAATAAACTTGTTTCCAGAGATGGGATCCTAGATAAAAAGCTCAAACACAGAGCCGGGTAAGCTGCAATTGGTGGATTTTGAAGGTTCTTTACCAGTGAATCCCATACTCCAATTCCAGATCATCATTGACTGCATTTGACTGTGCCTTGAATTTTGTTCTTGATGTATTAGTGCATCTGGTAGATTCTTCCATTCAAGTTTCCAATGTGCTATTTTTAAGTAATATGACCAAAAATCTAAAAATAATATAGCATATCATTAAGAAAATCTGAGTTTAATTTTACATATTGCTTGTTTATCTCTTGTCAGGTAAGAGTAAATGTTAAGTCTAGACTTAAATTAGTTGTCTTTAGGTAAAGGCTCAAAGTCCTCCCCGTTTGGGTCACAAAGGACAGAGGTAGATTGAACACAATGTTGCTATATGACAGAATAGAATCAGGACAAGCAAACCAAATAGGGCAAAAATGCTGCATCTTTTTATTAAGTGTATATATCAGAAAAAAATCTTCACTTGAAATGATCACTTATAAAACACTAATATTTTCATTTTTTGACTTTTAACTATAACTGGCTAGAAATAGTTATTTATAATTTTCACTTGCACATTTTAACTACTTATAAAATTTAGAAAAACATCTTCCTTAATTTTACTGTTATTATAATATCATCATATCTGATGACTTAATAACATTTCATATGAAGATTGATAGCAGCTTTTTAAGGTTACATTATCACGTCATCCTATGAATTTGTAGAAACGTGAATGAAATATTAATGCCTTTGATTTTTCCTTTGTGTCTTTTCTTATAAAATGTTTATAGCATTTTCTGATCTATAAAACTGTATGTTCATTCAAAACTTATCCCAATAATTGTTCTCCTTTTCTTTCATAAATTATGGTATTACTTAATAATCACTGTATTTGATCACCTACTGGTGAGAATTTTAAGTCCTTTGTGTTTTTATAATCTATATAATGATTTATAAAATAAGATAATCCAGGTATTTTTTCCGTAGTAAAAGACTAGATTTAATGACTTTCAATATACAAATTTGATATCATTTATATCAAACATTAGAACTGCAATAATGTAATAAAAACATCATTGGAGGTTCCTTCCTGAGAGGGGATCCCTTCTCTCATTTATGGACTTTTTTCAATGCAGATGAATTTCATAACATCCTAAACAGAAAAACTTGAACTTAGTACAGAAACTGAGCTGTCTTTTTTTTTTTTTTTTACTTACTTTTAAAATTTCAAAATATTAAGGGAGTACAGATGTTTGTGATACATAGCTTGAGTCAGGGGTATAAATGTGCCCATCACCATCAATGAACCCAATGGGTTCACTGTACTCATTAGGTGGGTTTTTGTCCCTCTCCTCCTCCCTCCAGAAAATGAGCTTTCTGTACTATCTGGACATCAAGTGTTCACACAATTACTCTTGGTAGTCTGCCATGTGTGGTGAGAATTGGAGTAATAGCTTCTTCAATTATCTCTGTCCAGAATATAATCATGTAATAATAAATTGATCATACTGAGTACTGGGTATAGAAACTCATCTCTGCTATTAGTGGTATAAACTTATATAATTTAAACAAAAAAATTGGGGTTTTAGTGGTTTGGATAAAGCTTTGAAGTCAAACAAAACCATGTTCAATATCTAGCTCTGCAATGTACTAACCGTGTGTATGTCTTTGGGCATGCTACTTTATCTTTTCACAGCTCAATCTCTACATCTGTAAAATGGAAAAAATAACTCTTGCCTCATAGAGTATATGAAATATAATGTGTATAAAGCATGCAGTAGAGTATCTAGGACATAGCAAGCATTTATTCATCATTCTTGTGATGAGTGAAATAAGGAAGCCAAACTGAGTAGGTTAGGTTGTCTTCAAAGGTCCCTGACAATCAATCAAGGGCCTGTGATTCCACTATCCACAGGATATGGTGGTCAGAAAAAGAGATGAGAGCATCACAGTTACTATAGTGCTAAGGATTTGTTAAATTCATAGTCAATATTTTTTTCTCATTTAATTATTTTATATGTAACACCCAGTTTGATTCATAAAGCTCTTTGTAAGAGGTAACAGGTTTAGAAGAAATGACAATATTGCCATATTATGAATTTAGAAGTTATCCATTTTAATCTATATATTGACAAAGAAATTAAAATTTTAAAACCTCTAACTATACAAATATTCTTAGAAGTTACATATGTTTCATTGGCAAAACTGGGTCAGTGTTTTTTGGTTCAAAGGCTACTGCCAGAGAAACAGATATGTTATAAAAGCAGAATTCTGGCTACTGTCTAAAACATAAAAGAGCTATTAACAAATTAATGACTTTAATTTTTAAAAAAATCTCTAATATAAAATACTATTTTAGTTTAGGTAAATATGGATTGAAATTTTTTCTCTATTCCAAAGTATGATTGAAAAAAATTTTAGAAGCCATGTTTGTTTGACTAATTTTAGTTCACAGAGAAGTAATGAGGACACTAATAGAGACTTCTGTAAAGAATAAATAATCAAAATTAAAGAAATATTAAGCAGGAGGCTAATTGACTTGAAAATTGATCTCCTTAATTATAAAAACCATTTCAAGTTATTTTAATATACATACATATCAAGTATTTCTTATGCAAGTATATTATTATTTAGAATTGAATATTGCATCAAGATGTTTCTTCGTCCAATTTTTTCAATTTTTTTCTCTGTCTTCTTTTTATAATTATTTATTATAAATGACCATGCTTATAATTTGTGCTCAATAAATATTTATAAATGAATGAATATTTAATAAATAATACAATACCTTGACAAGTTTCATAATACCCAAACTGTATTAAATTTTTTCTAATACATGAAATATATTTACCAAGAGGGGATTTATTGCAAATAAAAACAAATTTTATATAACATGCAAATTGGAAAGAACGAAAACAGGATAAAATGGCATGTATCTTTTTAGAACATCTTAAACAGAAAATTTAATTTTCTCTACTTTTCTGCAATGAATCTTTCTTATCTACTATTTTAAACTGCTTTATCTTATCTACCTGAAACTAAGAAACTATTTACTAGGATCCTTTATAAATTTCATGTGATTTTTCCTGGATGCGGTACATTTCCTTTCCAGGGAATATTTTAGAATATTAACAGTCAGCCAATCAGATCATACTTTTTCTTAAAGGAAATAAAACTGGGAAGGTAACTCTAGAATTTGTCAATTTCAAGATCCATAGTAATAATGGGAGTAGACAGAACATTTGGAAGAGTAATGAAATGCCCTGGTGGATATATTGGTTACATTTAAACATATAGACAATTCAACTTTTTTTTAACTGTTTGAACTTTTTTTTTTATAAATGCATAATTTCCTCTACAACAAAGGAACAGATTTTATTTTTCACTGCAGCAACTCAATTTAGCATCCTAGACTATGTGTTCTTCATATTCTATTAAATTCTGTAGTAACCATATAAACTGGGAAAAAACATTACATGTCTCGAGCTCACTAATCTTTCTTCTACTTTATTCACATTCAATAACAGAATGCTGGAAATGTCTAATCAGTTAGCAGCAAGCATAGTTTTCAACAGTTAGCCCTGAGTAAGGGAAGTATGTATAGGGCTCAAATAAAGACAAATAAGCATTTCAAATACTGATTTAAAATTTATTTTCAGACAAGCCCATACATAGATTAAATCACAGATTTCAGGACTAAGATACTTGCTTATACTGTGTACTTAAAATTATTTTTTAGTAATTTTTGGCTTTTCAATCTTGTTTCAGAGCCTAAAGACAAAGTATCCTTAAAGATAGCCACATTCATGTTCGAAGCACAAATACCAAATAGCCTATCTTCTGTGATAAAGGAAATAATAAATGACTAATCCATACCTTTTCAATATTAATCTGCTCAGATTTAATAAGATTAAAGAAATTCAAATGTATAGTTAGGGCAGTGGTGCTCATTCCTGTTTGTTCATCAGAATAATGTATGGAGCTTTAAAAAAGGACAGATGCCTGGGGTCCTCTTAAATTATAGTCTTTGTGGTTGTGGCCAGATAGCTGATGTGCAGCCATTGTGGAGAAAACTAGTCTAAGTACTCCTTTGGGAGTAGTTTCAAGCACATCAGCATGTCCGTGGAGGCTTTGTAAACTCAACTGGATAGACTATTGGTTACATATTATTCTGAAAAGTTTGGGCACATGTGGCTGGTACATGTGCCCTAAAGTGGATCAGTAAAGTGAATGATTTAGTATTATATTCCCCACCTTCACACCCAACTTTGAAAGCTGTGATTTTTCTCATGGAGTCTGCTGATCAGTCTACATACTTAATAGCTTTCAGATTTATTATCTCACATGAGCACTAGTCACAAATGAGTACACTTATTTAAAAGAAACCAGACATTCTAAATTACAATCTAGCTTCTTACAATTTTCTCTCTTCTGCCACTTTTGTTATACACATAGTAATGCAACTCCACTATAACTTATTTTTAAAAACTTACAGGGCAAACGTATTTTAGATATAGACACCCCATGGGAATGGACTAGAGAAGCACACCACAGAATATTATTTCAAAATGTTTCGAATCTTAATTCAAGTAACTCCTTTTTGGTTTTTGTTTATTTTCTAATAAACCCATCATTTTCAAGGTACATTTTTCTAAAGCAAAATGCATATAAAGTTTTTCTGTGTAGCGTGACTTAGCTTCTTTGATGTAGTAGATGGAGTCTGAATTGTTTGAATCTGAATTTACCTGTAAAATCCTCTAGACTAGAATAAACCATTTGAATGCTATAAGGTTGGAGTTTATGACTAATTTTCAGAAAGAATATTTTAAACTTAACTATTATGTTAAATGTGTTTTAATAAAGCAGAAAACTATCACTCTTTTTATTATTAACTAATATCTCATCAAATTTCATCAGCCCCTATATTCAGATCATCTTAAAATATGGACAATACATTGGTGCTATAAGAAATTTCAAAATATGAGTCTGTTGAAATAAAAGGTACATGTTCAACAAATAATTGAAGACTCCCAAAATATATTCTTTTCTATATTGGAATTCTGAGATAAATGTTTACATTTCAGAAAGTTTTAACCGATATATGTGACTTCCACAAATAACAATGAAAATCCTTAAAGATAAGAGTCTTTACATGTTTGTTTATCAGGGGTCTGAATAAAGGGTTTTCACTGTATGTCTACACAAGCACATGCTTATATTTAACTCAGTGTATTGGGCAACTTTGATCTCTAGACACGAGGGCCATTTACGGTATAAATGATGGAAATATGCTTTGCATGCAACAAAGGCCCATATCATTAAAAGGTAAATGTTACAAAGATAATATATAGTATAAATGCATCGTTAACAATGACCTAGAGCATTCATCTTTGATAAGTATACTTTTCTGCATGAAATCGTATTTAAAAGCTAACTTACAGCAGCAATTTTTTTTTCAGTGACAATTCAATATTTTGTTCTTTTTGTGGGTGTTCTGTTTGTTTGCAGTCAGATGAGTGAGCCTCATAGCGGTTTGACGCTCAAATGTGCCAAGTGTGGAGTAGTTTCAACAACAGCTTTGTCAGCCACCACCGCCAGTAATGCCATGTTAGTCCCAATCATTTACATCTTCTTGTTACAAATCTTTTACAGTGCATGTGAGAAAATGCTATGATGAAAAAAAAAATATGTTTGCTAATACTAGAGCTAAGAGCATACTTAAATATTCATAATTGGCAACTGCCTTTATAACTATTGTGGGATAGTCTATAAAAAAATAAATGGAACTCTCAAATGTTATCCGCTTTGTGGTTTCCAAGTTAACGATCTTGGTGCCACATACAAGAACGCTTTGTTGAATGGGGGTTTGGTTATGGCCTGGGGCGTGATGTGCAGCTACATTATGTTGTTTTCTGTGTCTCTCAACAGGGCGTCTCTTTGGAGCTCCTGTGTTGTGCTGCCTCTCCTGGCTTTGACATGGATGTCTGCAGTTCTGGCCATGACAGATAAACGCTCCATATTGTTTCAAATACTTTTTGCTGTGTTTGATTCGTTGCAAGGCTTTGTTATTGTCATGGTCCACTGCATTCTTCGAAGAGAGGTAAGAAATATAATTCTTGGGAGAGAGAAGAGTGATGGTTGGAAGAGTGTTTGTTTGCTAACAAGTAGGATTTTTTATTTTAATATCTTCATCTTCAGATTAAAGCTGATCTCCACTGACAATCATTTAGGAGTTAAAGCTGATGGGAAGCTTTAAGGCATAGCTCAGGAAGGCCCTGACACTCTGAAAATGACAGATTAAAACGGATGGGACTATGTAAGGGGGAACCTGGCCAGAGGTGCCAAGAACCAGGAAAAGTAGATTCAAGAGAGGACATACGGAATGATTGGTGTAGATAAGTCTGTTAGAACAACTGGTGGATAAGAGGGTAGGGTAAACATATGTTTAAAAGACATACTTCATAAACATAGTAAACCCATTCCCTAATTCATGTTTCTTCACTCAGAAAATCCTCATTCCTCATATCAACTAATTTTATTTTAAATAGAAAATGTTGGATATTCATGAATAATTCTTTTGTCTCTGTACTGAGTTGTGGTTAAGGTTACTAAAAATTAATGATTTTCATGTGGATGTTTACTCTCAAAAAATACTAAAAATTTACACAGTGGGGCATGATAGGCAATAATTGTCCCCAAGAACTGTAGACCTATAGTCACAGCATTTGTCTGGGTCATGATTGAGGTTTACTGTCAGCAGTGAGCGAAAGAAGACATTGGCTTTCATGAGTGGAGACATTAACCAGCTCCGAATCCATCCAGGGCAGTAAGAGATTTCAGAGTTGAGTTGTTTAGGGATAAAATGTTGTTTTCCAACCTGTGTGCAAATTATTCTGAATGCTTACCAGCACTGACATGGTATATACAAGGTTTGTGAGTCATTTTAGCATTTACTCTAGGGATGAGTGGTGACAAAAACACACACTGACACGGTGCCATGCTAGTGATTTTGAGAAAATGGTCTATTCTGTCATTTTGCATTATCTAGCTTGTTCGAGAACTTTATTATGATATGCACATTGCAAAGAGACACATGTGCATGTATATACACAGCACAGAGTTTTCACAATGACGTGTGGAAGGAACCAAAGGCTTTTACCTGATTTATCAGATGAGGAGAACAATATTTCTGAGCTACATCAATAAGATACAGATGTTGGCAATAAACCCACATGTCTATTCTAAGAACATTCTGTGAAGAAAAACAATGAAAACAGTTGAAGAATGACTTCACATTGCAAGAGGAGGGGAATATTTCTTCATTTAAAAAATCTGATGTAGTTTACAGTTGCCAAACCTTACTATTCCTTCATCACAAATTTCTAGCTAGAATATCAGCATTAAAAACTTCCAAGTATAGAGCTGTTTATAGAACAAAGGAGTAAAAGTTAAAAGGAAATTGAATAATAATTTAATTT